CAGTCCTAGAAACTGGGAACCAGTCCTCCCGGTTCTTGGGTTGAACCAGACCGGACCGGGAACCGCTCACCCCTAGGTATAAGTCCGCTCCTACTTGAAGATTTATGTATAATTATTTTAAGACGAACGGTCCAGAGTGAACATTTTAGGGCCCGATCTTGGGTTCAAGGTCGAGCCCGCCCAGTGATCACCTCCGCAGCTCGAAAAACGAAAGGTGCGACGAGATCCCCACGTCAAGCACCAAGGTCATGATTCGTGATGGAAGCCCAATTGATATGTTCAAACAGATTATATGGCAACGGCCCACCCAGATTAGATGTTAATATTGGAATTAGAATCGTTGAGGTAGATCTCTTAATGTTGGGTCGGGTCAGTCCACGTTATGGGCCGCACTATTTGGATTTAGCCCGAAAAAAAGGAACCCGTCGGACTTTGTGCAGGAATAGACCAAAAATTGGATTATATAGGCCAAGCCCCAAAAAAAAGAAAAGAAATAAAACTATAGTACAGACCAAAAATTGGATTTCTAAAACCCCCCCCAGGAAAAAAAAAATCTGTGTCTTGTAATAAGTAGATTTAATAGTGAAGCATCGAGTTTATTCTTTGCAATCAGTTTTCTTCTCTATTTCCTTCTATATTTTTCGATCAAATCTTGCGAAAATCGGTTTCCAGTTATAGCAGAGTTTCCATCGCAAACTTGTGCTTTTGATGGTGGACAAAGATGATTTGTTCTTTTCAAGCAGAATGATCCCCAAAAGCTAATTGTATTCTTCTCAAACAAAGGTTTAAAAAAGAAAATTTCATGCTGGTTAAACGTTTCCCATGTCGTCGTCGGTTACCCAATTTCTGGGACTTATATCATTGACATGTTCATATGCAATAAGAGAGTCGGTCAATAATCGCAACCTTGAAATGTGATGGATTAGGAAAAACAAATGCTAGAAAAGTCATAAATCAACTGCTTAATTGACCTAAAGTCAATTCAGTCATTTCGGTTAATTTAAGCCAAATATTACTGGCGTGCTGGCGCTGAGGTGAATAACTTTTAATAATATTTAAATAGTTTTTTTCAAATTCCTTTTTATTTTTTATTTTCTTTCTTTTTATTTTTTTTCTTCTCTTCGTTCTTCCTCTAGCCGGTCGCCAAGGCCGCTGGTGAGGCTTAAGCCCTCACTACCGACTGCACGAGGCATGACCTTGTCAAGTGTGTTGAAAAAATCAGCTTGTTGGGTTTAAAAAACCAGCTCAAATTTCGGGAAGTTACTGTTCATGTACTGTTTGGCATTTGTAGCAGCACTGTAGCAAGAAAAAAAACGTATAAAAACAAAGAAAAACCAATAGCAAGCTTCGCCAGTGGTTGGGGAGGCTGGCAAGGTTGACCTTGCCGACCCTCGCCTTTGGCTGGCCGGAGGAATAATGAAAGGAAGAAAAAAAATAAATAAAAATTAAAAAAATATTTAATTATTATTAAAATTTATCCATGTCAATGCCGATTGATGCCACGTCGGCCGGCGGCTATGTTAATATTATTTGATCAAAATTAGTCGAAATGGCTTAATTGGTTCTTAGTCAAAAAGATTTATAGATTTTTTTTTACGCTTTTCCAGTCATGATTTGAATTTCAACACTCGAGGGGTCGTCGTTTGGGGCGGCGCCAAACAGAGACAAGAAAATGAAAATTCCTAATCTGACAATATGCACGTGGCCCCCCCTTCTTTGACACCGATGGCCAATCAAACAATCCCCGAGTAAAAAAGACAAGCGATTCGACAACAAATTCAGAGCTTTGTCGCCATGCAGACATCAAGAATACCACGACAGATATAATTTATAATTGCGGATACAAAAAACTGAAAAAGCAGGTCCCGTGATCTTTCGTCCGATAGCTCCACGTCTCTGTCCTGTTTTTTCGTTTTTTTTTTCTGGTCGAACTATAGCGCACGTCTCTGTCAAACAGCCGTGGCCCAGCGCAACTCCAAATTGGAAAGATGCTGCGGCAGATTTTCATTTCTTTAAAATATTTCTTGCCTCGACTGACTAAGCAAAGACTGAAAACCTTGGTGAAAATATATAAATCTGGTGAGAGGTCCATTGAGAATGCCGTGGGGGATTAGGTAATTCGATGTGAAAGGTATGGAGGCATGGAACATATGTGGTACTAGGTACAATGTATGTTGTAGTTCTTCCATTCCGAAACCCTAAAATAATTTGACCGGATGATGACGTACCATGTAATTCACTGACTCGGGTCAAGCGAGTCTCGGTACTACCGACCTAAATGACGATTTGAGTTTGGACAAGTAAATAGGTCGAGCATTCCGGTTCCCTCGCACCTGCATGCGTGCTTCCGTAGTATTTCCAGTTAAGAGTTCTTCATTGCAAATCTCGCCAATTGAGCGAACTGCTCCGAGTAAAGGCTACCGACTCAGGTCTAAGGTTAAGACTTAACTGGTTCGTAGGGCTCACAAGGTGTTCAACGGGCTTCCATATTGAGTTTTTGCATTTGTAATTATGGATCATAAATAAAAAAAATTCTGTCAAAGCATTTCGTTTTCCTTGGTTTGTTGGTTAATTTTTCCATTCAAAGAAAATTGTGAAAAATTAAATGCTTGTGTAGTTATAGCTTTAAGAGTAAACTGAATTATACTAATGAAACCGTTTATTTGCATAAATTTACTCTTTCTAATTCCAACTTACACGCTCATTTGGGACAACTTAAAATAAGTGTCAAGTACTTATCGACTTATTTTCTCGAAAACTAAACAAAAACAAAAAACCGTTCCGAAAAATTATAGGTTAACGCTCTATTAAGGTAATTAAAGAATTAAACTTCGAAAGAGGATAAAATCGATTTCATCTACGTGTCACAAGAATATAGGCATTGATGATTCAATTCAAGCAATGATTTTTTTAGTGACCAAAAAGCTAACATGACGCGGCATCAATCATGGGACAATTCAATTCAATTCAAGCGGTGATGATGTTTTGGTGACCAAGGCCAATGAAACGGAAAGTTATGGAACAATGGTATTGACACGTCGTCGTCCTCCGAAGTAAGATCGCCGGAAGCACGGGCCGACTGACGTGGCCAATTGGCCGTGCTCCATTTACAATTCTGCCCTTGCTTTTACAGTAAGTGAAAACGTGGAACCTCTTTGTCAACTGGAACGATCAGTCAAAACATATTTTCCTGCTTCTTGAAAATTTTAGGAAGGGCTAAAATTTTACATATAACGTGTTTCTTCGTTTCTACGGGTTTTTCTTCTTATTACAGTGCTGTTACAGTGCCAAATAGTGCCGAATAATACATAAATAACACATGAACAGTAACTTTCCAAGACTCCTTCCACTCATTCGCTTTGTGCGAGTGATGCTTTACCTGACACACGTGAACAAATTGATTTGCACTTATTCCTAGATGTTAGTTGAATCTAGAGGTTCAAATATCCTATATTATAAAGATGAAATATGCATGCATTTTTAGCATGCGCAACTTGTCTATCCAGGGAAAATTGTCCGATAAGTCCTGAATTTATTGTACGACGGTCAGATCGATCTTGAATTTTTCAATTGTGCCACTTTAATCCTAAACCTTATGACGACTTTCAATATAGTCCTCCCAGCCAACTTTGGCCGGCAATCGCTAGCATGGACGCCGACGGTCCCACGTGGCATGTCCGGTACTGATGTGAATAGTTTTTTTTTTTTTTTGCATTTTTCTTAAAATAATACACGGATCCTGTATTCATCAAAGATTACACCTAATGACGTGATTATGCAATTTATAATTCTAGGATGAAATAAATATTTTTATTCTTTGTTTTGCCCAACAAGTTCATTGATTTTGTCTTGAAGTCAAGCTAACATATAAACCAAATTCGATTCACATGGACTAGATACTTAGGGTGATTCGTGATAATGAACCGTGTTCATAACATGTCAAGTTACGGACTTATATCACCGGTGCAGTAATCATGTTAGAAAGCTCGACTCAAGCGGACTCGCCTACTTGGTATCTACTTTCAACACAACTCACATAACTCTTTTAATTAAATGTGTTAAATCGGGTTAACCCAACTTAAACATAACTCGAAAAAACCAAACTGTTTTTTTTTTTAAGTATACAATATCAGGGTATTGTCATTTCTTGTTTACTACTTAATCTTTCCTTTCCTTATAAATTAAAAAAGGTGTTTGATTGCAGTTCAAACGATGGGCTTCTCTAATGAAAAAATTGCAAATTTCTTTCAAAAAGTTTTTCACCTGTCCAATGTCAAGCACATTATAGAAATATTGACCAAAGTTGTATCTCCCTCACTGCCCCTGCCATGACCCAAATTTGAATAGATTGCCACTATTGTACTATCGACCCAAAGCACATTATAGTTATATTTGACCAAAAGAGGCATGATGGACAGTAATGTGATTGGACAATCACCGCTACAGCCGGCTTCTGGTTTCGGTGCTCTGTATTCGGTGGTCCCGGATCACCAAGTCAGCGTGGTCCCCGACCACTCACGAGGCACCATGTGGTCCACGTGATGCGGGATGGGGCCGGTGGGCCAGGAGATGTTTTTTGCACAAAATATTAATATTTTTTCCCCTTTAGCTTTGCAAGTCTCCTCTACGCTAAGAACCTACATTTCCCTTTCCAGTCGAGTCTCTCCCCTTTCTCTCTCTTCATTAACGGCGGCCTCCTCCTTCTCTCTCCTTCTCTATCTCCTTAGCGATCTCCCTCTCTTCTCACGAAGCCCCACATTCTCTCTCTGTTTTGTAAAAAATCGCCACCCCCTCCACGTGGATCACGCGGCGCCTCGTGAGTGGTCGGGGATCACGCTGACTTGGCGGTCCGGGACCACGCAATATTTTGTCGCAAATCATTTACTCATTGAATCGGGACACACGGACCATGTGCGGTATAGGTAAGAAAGTGACCAGGCGAGACTGATGATCCCATGTTTGTCTTTCTCCTTTGTTTTGCCTCGCCTTTCACGAATCACACTCCTTCCCCACTTGACCTCCTAATCCGACGTCGAATAGGTGTACAGAGGAAGCTGCACATCAATGGCTGACACACTCAAACCCGTACAAGAAAGAGCATCGTCATTTCACGCAACAGGACAGACATCCTCTTGCACTCCTTTCCAGGAAGACACCGCTCCTTAAATATCCGCCACAGCCTCACAAGTTCCTGCCCTCTCTCTCTCTCTCTCCCTCTCTCTCTATAAGCAACCATGGGGAGGGAAGGACAGGAGACAAGCCTGAGCTCACCATTGATAGAGTCAGATGGTGAAGATGGTGTTGTGAGATCATTAGCATCGAATGAGGGAGAGAAAGAGAAGGGTGTCGGGTGGAGGAGTGAGGTTCTTGTTGAGATAAAGAAGCAGGCATGGCTTGCTGGTCCGCTCATATCGGTGAGCTTGTTGTTCTACAGCTTGCAGATGATCTCTCTCATGTTTGTGGGTCATCTTGGCGAGCTGCCACTCTCCGGCGCTTCCATGGCCACCTCCTTCGCCACCGTCACCGGTTTCAGCTTACTGGTGAGCTTGAGAGATGGCCATATTAGTCGTGCTCTTACTTCAATTCAAATTCTACAACAAAGAAATTGCATTTCGGGTTTTGGCATAGTTGATGTTCTGATAAATCCACGTTTGTAACTTAAGCTGAGATTATGTTATGTGTTTGTAATGGATGTTGTCGTTCACGATCAATCCGTTTCTTCGTTTTCTTTTAGCAGAGTTGGTAAAAGTTACCCTTTTTAGTCCTGTATTTGTTGCCCAAATTCACCAACAGTTTTTTCGTAAGTAGTAGATTGACCAAGTTTGTTTGAGATTTACTCACTTTGGAGGGGCAATAAAGGATGAAGATGATGAAATTACCGTCTCGCTTTCTATTTAGCTGGAAGATAATAGAATTGGTGCAAAAAATGGCCCATAATTTGGCTAGGCTAGCCATATTTGTTAGTGCTGCACTGGAGATGCTACTGATACCAGAGTTGAAATTTAAGTTCTAGCACAAATTGAGCCACTTTAAACAATCGTTACTGAACTTTAAAGAATATTGGACAGTCTTCTTTTCTGAAGTTCTGATTTTTTTCTTGTCAAATCTCTTTAACTAGATGGGGATGGCCAGCGCATTGGAAACGTTCTGTGGTCAATCATACGGGGCGAGGCAATTTCATAGGCTTGGTGTTGACATGCAGAGAGCTATGTTCATCCTTCTACTAGTGAGCATACCTCTTGCTTGCATCTGGGCATATACGAGAATTATACTAGAAGCATTCGGTCAACAAGCAGACATAGCAGAGGAAGCGGGAACGTATGCCCGTTACATGATCCCGTCCCTTTTTGCTTACGGCCTTCTTCAATGCCTAGTCAAGTTCTTGCAGACTCAGAACATCATCATCCCTATGGTGCTAACCTCGGCAGCTGCTACTCTAATGCATATCCCCCTCTGTTGGGTTCTGGTCATGAAAACCGGCCTTGGAAGCAGAGGAGCGGCCTTGGCGAATTCAATATCGTATTGGATGAATGTGTTGCTAATGGCACTTTATGTGAAGTTCTCTTCTTCGTGCTCCAAGACTTGGACTGGGTTTTCGAAGGAAGCCTTTCACAATATTCTCACATTCCTTAGACTTGCCATTCCTTCCGCAGTAATGGTCTGGTAAAAACATCTCAAACCCTTCATCTCTCTGGCGATTGTGAAAAACGGATGACATGCATTACTGATGGCAATCTTTTTTATTTCTGTAGCTTGGAGATGTGGTCATTCGAGATGATGGTGCTCCTCTCTGGACTTCTCCCGGACCCGACATTGGAAACTGCGGTGCTTTCTATCAGGTTAATCTCGAGTTTGGCGTTAGTCTGTCCCGAAATAGTTTGGGACAAGGCACATATTGCTGAGATTTTCTTTTATCGATGCACACTTTAGTTCGGTGCATGTATATGATCTCCCAATGTTTACATTCTCAGTCTCAACACTGCCGCAACAGTTTGGATGATCCCTTTCGGACTCAGCGGGGCTGTGAGGTAAGCATGCCAAACTGAGTACATAGTAATGAAACTTAGACCGCCATTTTGCGGAGAATCAGCTCGGTTAATCAAGTAGCATCCCAAATGGTCGATATGTCTCTTTATTTTGTTTCTGCATAACATATTCATATGTACATATCCATCAGTTTCTTAAGACCACATTGGTGTGGCAATGGATTTTCACAAGTTCCATGGTCAATCTATCCAGCACTCGTGTTTCAAATGAACTAGGGGCTGGGAAGCCTCAGGCTGCGCGTTTAGCAGTGTACGTGGTCCTCTCCGTGGCCGTAACCGAAGGAATTCTGGTCGGAATAGTTTTGATCTCGATAAGAAAAGTATGGGGCTATGCTTACAGTGACGAGACAGACGTGGTCAAATACGTAGCCATCATGATGCCGATTCTAGCAGTTTCTAACTTCTTGGATGGACTCCAATGCGTCCTTTCAGGTTGCCTTTTTCACCACAAACTGGCCTAGCCTAGCGACCATGCTTTGTCTTTTTACATGATTTGCGTTTTTTTTATCCGGTTTTGTTCCTCCTAGATGCCATGAAATCATGGCTCATGCTCCAAACTAGTGATGGCTGTTTGTGTTTTGCTCTCGCTCTTCTTCAGGAACCGCTAGAGGATGTGGTTGGCAAAAGATTGGTGCCTATGTCAACCTGGGGTCTTATTACTTGATTGGCATTCCATCTGCAATAGTGCTAGCTTTTGTTCTCCATGTTGGTGGAAAGGTAAAACTCTTCGGCCTTAATACTTTTCCTACTCCTTAGTTCAACGTTGTCGAAACGAGGAAGCTATTGGAGAAAATAACTTCTGGAAACTCTTTCTTTTGCAGGGTCTCTGGCTAGGAATTATCTGCGCGCTAGTTGTGCAAGTGTTCTGTCTTTTCTGCATCTTTCTCCGTACGAACTGGGACCAAGAGGTCAGATCCTTGTACATAAATAGGGTAGAAATCAGTTACTCTATCCATGCTAAGCATTTTCCATGATCCACATCTACTGCTTTCGCAGGCAAAGAAGGCTGCTGAGAGAGTGCATGACTCCACCATCCCCACATGACAGTGTCATAGAGCAGAAAAAAACTGAAAGGAAAAATCTATTTTGGTAGTTTTTCTTGGAAAAACTCAGAATATGTGAAGATTGAGAAAGCAAAGAGAAAAATGCTGTACCCGAAGAATTGTGGAAGAAATTGCAGAGTTGCAGTAATTAGTGCAGTTCAATTCCCCCAGTTATGGTCCAAAGTAAGGAAGAGTCAGGCTGTGTAAGCTGACCTAAGGCAGGCGTGAAGTGTTAACGAATGGAAATGACAAGAAGTGAAGAGAGTAGTAGTATTATGACATTATGAAGGAGCTATCCCCCGACTATAATAGTTACTTTTTACCATCTGAATAATCATCAATTTTGATTCTGATTTGAATGTAGGTGCTTACTCATTGAATTCTTGAATGGAGTATAAATTTGAGAAGCCTTAATCTCTTTATAAAGCTATCTTAATAGTTAACATCAAACAAGCTAAGCATGCGCCAATGTACTCACTACGTTTGAGACACGGACGGCATGTCCATGGTTACTTAGGAAAATTTTCCGTCCAAACGAAATGACCACTCCCTTATATTGACTGATCTTCTGCTGCGAGTAAGTTAATTACCTTTGATATGCACTCTATATCAGAGTTTTGTGTATATAAAGCCAAGCTCATTTGTGAAGTCTTTATGCACAGGGCAGAGAGTCAGAAACCAAAACAGAGACATAAATGACATAATTGGAAGATAACAAAATCACTTAAACTGTTTGCCAAACAATATATCATGAAACTTCCACATCAATGATCTAAAATTGCATAATCAAACCCATTTGAATAAACAATCCGAAGGGTATCCTTGTGATAGCTACTCTACAGTATACATACAATAAACAGGATAGATCGGCCTACAGCATTCTCCAGCCTCAATCCTCCATCAAAAGCAACCAAAAGAACACTGATCATAGAATTAGAATCGGGCACAACTAATTAGAGGTGCAAGTAAACCACTCAAAAGCATCAGCTTGGAGTAAAAGAAGAAAAATGCCTCCAAAAATGTCGGCCTTCTATGACCTAGTGTACAAGTTCTCTGTCAAGTAGAAAGGAGGATGTTACCTTTCACTTTTCCCTCCTTTTCATAAAATTATTATCTCCCCAGCTTCAAGCCAAGCTAAATGATTGACTTCCACATTCAACCAAAGTAGCTCTCTCTTCAGTATCATGATACATGCGAAAGGCAAGCACATTTTCGGCACCGAACAACGAAAACTTTCCGATACTCAAATTACCTTAAGGGAGTAACCGCAAACATCATTAATGCATGTGCAGAACTCCGAGTGTGTTAACTTATGAGAGTCATGCAAAGTAATGAAGTGTCATTCCGGATGCTGGAATTCAAGATCTAGCTTCCTTTTCAAATGGGTCCGGTCAGCACTGCCAAAAAAAGGACACAGAATCCTACATCAATAAGCGAAAAATTTCAATACAGCATTGCTCGATTTAATGATATTGGAGTTTCCACATTTAGATACCATGGACATGCGTACGTCCTTCCATGTCTGAATAGAGACAAATCTGTTAGTTGATGCCCGACTAAATAAAATGCACCTAAAGATATAATAGCTCGACTATTAGGCCTTCTTACAAAACTAGCGAGTAAATGAAATTTCATCTAAGAAACTTGTTTTTAAACACGTAATTTGTCAACTTCTTTAATAGCATGATATTCATTTAACAGGCTGTATCTGAGGTATTTAGCCTCTGAGGTATGTAACTGACTTAGTCTTTATCTTTAGGTGACAAGAATAAATGCTTTCAAATCATATACAAATACTTTAGAGAAGTAGGCATGGCTCAGCTACTGGGATTCCACGACCAAGTCAGCACATCGTCATACGCTTGAAGAAGAACTGACACCAACTACTCAATTTGCTAAAGCTACTTATTATCAACAAGCCAATTCAGTAGTCCAAGGAAAGCATTTTCATGAATTGGCTTCCTTAATTGCAAGACTCGTACCTTATCTTCACCAGACTAATTGGAATGAAATTCTGAACATCTAAAAGCCAGGAATACTAATGTCAGTTTGAGTTTCTTCATTGATTGCTTTCTCAGTAACTTCTAGACTCCAACCAAATGACATTTTTTATTATCTATTCTGGTCTCACAAAGTATAAACAAATTTCCTTCTTTCTCTTCCCGTCCCCGTCCATTCTATATTTTCTTTAGAAAAACATTTTGTGACATCTGACACACATCACTTCTTATGTCTAATTATAATCCGTCAAGAGCTATACAGAATCGAAAAGCTAGTAAGAGAAAATGGGCATGAACACGATCCATAAGGGGAAAAAACTGTTGGTTTCAGAAGTGAGCACAGAAGACTAATGTTTGACAAAAAATAATCTAATGTGGTACAAACCACTTGTAGGTTGGAGAGCAGACACTTTGTCTAGCAAGAGATTGCTGGTATTATATGAAGTCAAAAGTAAAAGGATTGAACAACAATTACCAAACAAAGAAAGAAGGCTGATTGATTGTCAAAGAAATATCCCAATATCAGCCAATGTTGATAGAAAAATAAGAAAGTAGAAGATGAATCTTCAATTACTCAGATTCTCTTCCATGATGTAACATGTACATCTTAATTCAAATAGAAGGAGCTCATTGATTTAGCAAAAGTTCAAAGGTAAAAACTGTTTCCTTTTTAAGGAGCACAAATTTCTTTTCTCCCGTCTCCTATTATCACCATAAAAATGAAGATGCTCAATCCTGACGTGTGAACCTCAGGACTTTAGGACATTAAGCTAACATTTTGCCATCTATTTATCTGGTAGCATCAGTACAATCATGAATATTTAGGATTTTAACAATTCACACAACCTTCCCTAACAAGCTTACTAAATGGATTACTAGATGAATAATAATAAGCAAATGATTACTTGGTGTAAGGATCTTAGACTCTGATTCATCAAAACCAGCAGGTAGATGAGTTGACTAAGTGTTGACATTGCAGTTTGGTAACATTGCAGTTCTTATTCAGAACATCAGTACTGAAATCATCATATAATTACTTTTGAGATTCAATTGCAAGAAGACACTAGATGGAAAGCGAGAAAATTTAAGATGCTAAATTTTGGAGTTTACCTCATTTGGTGATGTGACGTGAAAATACATTGTTAAATTCTTAAAATATAATCCACATTGTTAACCTTTATAAGTGTTAAATAGATCCAAGAAATTAACATGTCAACATAAGAACCAGGTGATCCAGCAAGAAAGGTAAACTTCCTTCATGGGTCAGTGTCATGTTCATGTTCATGATCAAATAGCAGGTAAACTTCCTTCACAGGTAAACAATCTATACGCGAAAGGCATGAAGTAATTAGCCTCAGATATGAAGAGGTATTTGTCCACATTTGAAACATTTTGGCCGGAGCAAATTAGAAAGTTTCATCACTATTACTGTTTTACCTGTTGATTGTTGGTCTATTTGGAGGTCTGGCACCAAATATGGAAAAGTCCAATGACATAGGAACCTGCTCGTTTCTGCTTGTATGTTCTCCAGGACCCGGTCTATCTTCACTGACATGATCATCAAATTTATCATTCTGATATGCATTCCCTTCAAACCCTTCACGTTCTGGCATCACCCTCCTGGACTTTCTAGGAGGTGATAACACAGTGGGACCCTCGGGTGGATTAAAGTCTGAAGTCCTAGAATTAAGTGATTCCCGCTTTGGAGCTGGTCGAGGTAGCTTATCAGGAACTGTTGGCAGAGGAGCTGATGAGAAGTACCTATACAGAAGGAAATAATGGACAGAATAAGGAATGAAGGGTAGCTGTTGGTAGATAATCTGGAGCGGCAGGTGCCAATGGGACACGAGGTGAATAGGTGGAGTGCATCAACCACTCCGCACGGAAAAAGGGGTAAAAAGAAAGAAAACAAAAGACAGTGGGGGGGTGGACGAGGTTTAGCTCACGTACCTGTGTTCTAGAGCCTGCTGTACTGAAATTCTATTCTTTGGATCATATGTAAACATTTTGGCTAACAAGTCCATAGCATCATCACTTGCCATAGGAAAGAGTGAACGAAGAGGAGGTGCTGGGACATACTGGTATTCCACATAATCTGGAAGGTACACCATGTCAGGCCACTGAGAAGCTGTTGGAGTCCCAAAAGCTGCAAAGATCTTTCCAAGCTGATCAATGTCACTTGACCCCTGTTAAAAAAGGGAGACCAGAAGCAAAAGGTTAGCAAAGATAACAAAGCTTGGGCAACAAAGATAATAAGGCATGCAATAGAACAATGTCACTTACCATGCATCCTACATAAACAAACAAATAGCAAGTTAAAAGAATTAATCCCAGTTTACAACTTGCTATTTGTTGAAAATAGTAATTTCCCACGATCAGCCAGAATTTCCATACTCATCTGACAAACTGCACTTGGGCGCACCAATATTCGAGTTGGACCAACTTTCAAACATGGGCAAATAGCTTATAAGTTAAATCTCCATAACCATGGATTATATCCAACCTCCACCAGGGTCTCATGAATAAAATCCAACTAAAGTCCATTGTAGGCCTTCTCAAGGTCCACTTAAATCTCCATAACCATCGATTGTTATGAAGGTACCCACAATTTTGTTTAATCAGCAGGAAAAGAATGAATTGATGCAAATATAGTGGCCTAAAGGAATTCGAAACTCAGACCAAACCAAACTGGTATAAATGAACCTCCAAAACTCAAGATTGCATTCCTTGGGTTCATCAATACATATGTTGGATTTCTGTTGTTTTTACAGCTAAGGAGTAGTTTTTCTATGCCAAAGCAAGAAAATGTTCATCTTTGCATGCAAAATATATGTATGTAGTCTGAAAGAAAACATTTTGCAAACTATTTCTGTGGTATATTAAAGACATACAAGACATATGGAAATATAAGTGAAAAAGTTTTTCTTGATCGGGTCTAGGAAAACTTAAGCCAGAACGAAACCGCATTAGTTCAACGTTTGTCGAATCAACAATTATATCAATTAACTCCCAAATCAACAATCATATCAATTAACTAGATAGTTTGGTTCAGATTACTTCGATTTCTATTTTTCTTCAATGCTCCCCATTGTAACAGAGGAAGTGGTACATGCACAGCTAAGCCAAAAGAATTTGAGTCGTGGACTCATTCATGAGTGATTCACACACCAAGATGGAAGTAACCTCGCATATCTACCTGTAAAAAGGGCCGACGAAGAAGAAGCTCCGCGAATATGCAAGCTGCAGCCCAAACATCCACAGCTGGACCATATTGCTTGGTGCCAAACAACAGTTCAGGTGCTCTATACCAACGAGCAAAAACCTATTTTATATAATTTAGTAGAATCAGCATAGCTAGCAGTGAGTAAATAAATGAACTGGAGCAACATTATTAAACAGATACTTCAATGTCAAAATCACTGATCATCACTATCTACTAAGCATGAATAAGACAATAAGCTACGCATTGCCAAAAATGGTCAACAAGTCGATCGATGATGAACCAAGCCACGAAAAATGAACATCAGAGCAAAGTGCAAGCAGAAAGCTCAAGTTAAAATCAAGAAAAATCAATGAAAGCGCAACCTCAATGCCAATATGGTAAATATAGGCTATATGATAATCCTCAATGCTCATGTTACAGACAGAGGTAGGCTATAACTTTAAAAAACTCTTTAGACAATAATAGTTCTTGGCCGAAAACAACATATAGGAAACCACTTCATATACTCAGAGAGGATTGAACTTTCCCATTCTCTAGCCAACATGAGCATATAGGACTGCCAAAATCCCAACTCAAAAACATAACTCAGACGAGGTTCACTACAAAAGACATTATGATGTGCAACTAAGATTACATGGACAGGCAAAGTTGATAATAACAAGGTTATACTGCGTAATATAAAAATCCTAATCATTGACCACCCTCATATCCTTTGACTGTCCCAATTGCAAATCAGCAATCTGTACCTCGAGTTTGGACAATTGCAATTACCTCGTTGCAGTCAGGTAACTATTGCAAATTATGAATCCAAGCATCCTCGAGTTCTGTTTTACTTCTACCAGCTAAACTGCTAAGCCCACTACGTATAGGCAACAAGCAAGAGTTCTCCACGAAATAAACACCGCATGGAAGAACAAATGTACCTGTACTTCCTCCTTACCAAACCTATCATTTTGTCCACTCACGGTTTCACACTCAAATTAGTGCAGAAACACAGCGTCAGAATATATCTGTTGTTAAACTACATCTGCAAGTATAATGTGATTCAACCAATCGCCCATATAAAGGGAATCCTCAGGTACCATGGTTTTGTTCAATACAACACGAAGATCATCATAGAACCAAACCTGATGTGTAAATCTCCGGTCTGGGCTGCCAAATATGCGGGCTAAACCAAAATCTGCAAGTTTAAGCTGCCCTTTAGGTCCTATCAGCAAATTATTAGGCTTCATATCCCTGCAATTGCCAGTACAATACATCTTGAGAAGATTTGCGGGGAAACAGGACCTAATAAACTAGCTTCTATTCTAAAAAGAACAAATCAAGTACCTGTGCAACACCCATTTTTTATGGCAAATAGCAAGTCCCTTAAGGGTCATCTGAAGGTATGATTTTATGTCAGCTGGTGAAAGAAATATATTACGATCACGGATGACAGCTTCAAGATCAGTCTCCATGAACTCGAACACAAGATGCAGGTTCCCTTTGTGAGGAAAGGCATCAATTAACTCGATTATGTTTGGATCTTTAAGCTCTTTAAGCAACTTTATTTCTCTAAGGGCAGTGAAGTTCACCCCTTCTTTTTGCTTCCCAATCCGAATTTTCTTGATTGCAACAACTTGTCCAGTCTGCACAAACCAGATATATCCAAGTTCAGCATAGACATAAACCTATGCTATTGCATCGACAATGTCGTCCAATTAAATAGCATATGACGGAGTATGAACCGAAATTCAAGCATGACTGCCATAGCGTGAACAAGAAACAAGAAACCAATCCAACCACAATCGATATCCAAAAACAGGCGAAAAAAAGTCATACGATTTGTAAGGCTCTATTTATTCTGCATAACTCCTCATTTGTTGCCTAATGAAAGTCAAGGACAGCATGCCAGATAGATGGAGGCCGAGGAGTGTTGATGTCAGCATCTCAATGACATGACACTCCTTGGCTCGTAGTCTCCACCAACAGAGGATCATATCAAACTGGATCAGAACTGACCCCGTAATTCTGCAAAGAGAACTACCAGCACCGACAAATCTTATTTGAAATTGGCGGGGTCGTGAAATGTAATGGCAGACAACGAAAGATGCTCCTCAGTCCTGCATCCTAGAGACAGAGGCCGTCGGACACAAATGACATGTAGTGTCAGAACTTCCTAATATCTCTATTCAATTGGTTCTGCATGGATTATTAAAGCCTAAATAGCTATGACTCGCAATCATGTCAACCTTAGGGAATTGCACTTTACCGCCAATCAAAAGTGTCACCAAACGAGAGCCGTTAAAGAAACTGATCAACTAGCTGCAACGTTGTCAAGATGACAACAAACCCACTGTATTACCGAGCCTGTATTTTCCCCGACCCAAACACCCGAACAAAACGATCGATATAGTGTGCCCTCTCTTCACAGAGAGCCAACAAACGAACAGCCATCATCAGAACCCCACAGCTTAACACCATTACACTGGGAAAATCCCTTTGTCCTCAAAATCGCGAAAAAAAGAACCCCCCCCCCCAGCTCCAAACCAGTCACCCCCTTATCCATCCGCATGTTCTTGCTCTTTCTCAGCCTCCAAACAGCCTGAACTGCGACATACTTAACCCCCCCAATTCCACGCCGCAAAACTCCTCAAGCGAACGAAGAAACAGAGCCAACAGATTACAGCTAAAACCCTAAACCCCCAAAATTGGGGAAAACTCTCGGCATACCTTGGTGTCGATGGCTTTGTACACGACGCCATAGGTACCCTCCCCGAGCACTTCGCGCTTCAGGTACCTATCGGCGACCTTCTTCGACAGATCCAATTCAGTCATCTTCTCCTCCCTCTTCACCCCCCCAACAAAAAGAGAGCAAATAAGCAAACAAAAAAGAACAAGAAGAAAAAAACGAAAGTGGGTCAATCCCAATTCCTCTCCCTCCCTCTTCCTGTTATTGTTTCCGTTGAAAATGAATGGGCTTTACGGCGATCGATCTCCTCAAAGGTTCCAATTTCTCAAGAGAACCGGAGCAAAACTGATGAAAATCAAAGAAACACAGAAAGCAAACAGAGCGCAAAAAAGGTTGTTCTTCAGGACAAGGTGGGTGTGGGGCGGGGGGGTTGAGGAATCTCTTATCTTCTACGGCGTGAAGACGCCATTACAGGAAGAATTCAGGTTTCAGCAGAGCGTCTCTCTCTCTCTCTCTCATTGTTTGGGGGGGAGAGAGCGTGCGCGTGGCGGTGGGGAGGAAGGGGGGGTGGGAGCTGCGCCAGCGAGTGAAAAGCGAAGTCCTCTTTGGTCCTTTTATGCTTCTCCTCTTCTTTTCTTTCTCTTCTTTTTAATTATTTATTCGACTTTGATGCAACGCAACGTCTATGGATCAGTGTCGATGTCGCCAATGACGGGGCCCCACAGGGGCATGTTCGTCTTTTCAACGAGCGCCCGCCCCGTTCCTGCAGGGCTTGGGCCATGGCCATCATCGTGTAAACGATGAGATGGCTTGCGATTCTTTGGCCCGGGCTTGAGAATAGTTTTCCCAACTTCTGATAAAAATAATTGAAATCGAAATCGAAGACAAAACGCAAGGATCTTCGATTGTGATATCACTGAGGCTTTATTTATTTCGCGGAAAACAATTTTCTGGGAGAAAATTGTCTCGAATTTCTGGAGTTTGGTGCACGGAAGATGGATTGGTCAAGAAAAATACTTTCAATTAATGGAAAAAGCACATTCAAAACATGTGAAAATGACTTTCTCTTCTCCAAAAAAAAAAAAAATGAAATCATTTTCTCTCTTTCCTTTCTCTCACCCGACCTAGCACGAGACCTGACATGTTCTCCTCCTCGTCTCATGCACTTCCTGAGAAAGCCCGCTCCTTCACCTTTCTCTTCTCCGCCTCCTCGCTCCTCATCTCTCTCCGCTCCCAGAATTCCTCCTACCCCCGCCTTTAGCCCTGCATTTGTAGTGTCAAGTGCGATCGATTGAGCGAGGCTGTGTGTATTTGTTCGATTCAGTCGATTCGCGCCTCTTGGTTAATCAACCAAAGCTACAATTGGTCGTTTCTCTCTTGGTAAGTCGATCTATGGATAATTTTTTTTTTCCAGGAATTGTTGTTTCAAATAATGTCATGTATTGTTTATATATGTGCCTAGGTTCTCATGCACCAGGCTCCCGTGCCTTAGTTATCGGCGCCGAAGCCTAGGTCGAAGTACTCGGTGCCTGTGCTCAAGTTCCTAATGGCTAGGTTTGAGAAATCTTGACTCCTACAACTAAGAGCCCGACAGATGGGCCCAAGTCCCCCAAGGCTGAGGCCCAATCCTTGATCTTTGACATATTTGGAAAAAAATTTGATGGTATGGCATGTCTACCATTTATATCACACGAGTAGTGCATGTTCCTTTGAAAGATAAAAATAAGTATTACTTACTAAACAACGCCAGATATTTTCTAGTTCAATCTCTCAGCCAAATATTAGAAAAATATTGTTATTTTCCTGACAAATGACTTCTCGGGAAATATTTTCAAAAATGTTACATTTTCTGCGAAACAAACGGAGTCTTATAGAAGAATTACCTACTGTAACTGAAATTATTCAATTTGCAGGACTAGCAATGAAAATCAAATATATATATATGAGAGCAAAAAACATGTATACACTTTCGTATTCATGAAATATCTATTGCAACAAATGGGGCTGGTGAGGGCCCATTGCCCCTCTAGGCGCTAGGTGCTCGATAGTACTTTTACGTATATAAAATCCATACGTCAAGGAAATATATCTGTTTTAGGGTTGAAAACGTGTTTCGAGCAAAAATTTGCCTATGAGATAAATTGCGTTGAAGCAAAGATATATCTGCATCGAATCCAATGGCGAAAAAAATACTTTTTTCTTTCGCACGAAAGAATATTCCATGCATCGGTATGTCATGATCATCAGTCTCCTAAATTTACACGACAACCTCATCTCATTTTCACTTGACTGTGCCTTACATTCTCTGCGGTCCCTTTCCCTTGCACTTGTCAACAACTGCAACTTCCAAGAAACTTCTCCGCGACCACAGATTAATCAAACTGGGCAGAGCAGATACTAAGCAATGAAGTCTAATTGTGTATATTAAACAATCAAATCCATTCTGCTTCTTGCCCGAAAAGTCACTAGTTTGTCTGTTTTTTCTGTCGTTGAATGAGAGATGCATATCGTTTCCTTCTTTTTATGACTGTATTCCCATTTTCTCCTTCTTGGCCTCGCCTTTCACCCGTTCCTCGTCAACGGCCGCCACTATTCTCTGCTCCAGGATTCAAACTTGGCCGCATTAGACGAAACGTTGCGGCAATTTTCAAGTACCCATCTCGTTTTTGTTTATATACGAGAGATCCCAACTCGATCACGCTGCTCAGAACAGGAAAACCCGATCATGGGTAAGCTGAAGATCATCTTCTCTCCGATGAGCTTGTTCTGCACAAGAGTCGAGTGGGCTCTAAAACTGAAGGGCCTCGAGTACGAGCTCATTGTTGAAGACTTGCGGAAGGGGAAGAGCGAATTGCTTCTGAAGTCGAACCCAGTGCACAAGAAGATCCCGGTGCTTTTGGACGATGGGGTCGCGATTGCAGAGTCGAAGGTGATTCTGGAGTACATTGACGAGAAGTGGAAGGGAGGTGATTATTATTCGCTGTTGCCTCAGGACCCTTATGAGAGAGCTCAAGCTCGTTTCTGGGCTCAGTTTGCTGATGACAAGGTGGCTCTTTTGACTTTTTCCCCAAGTTTCTGTTCTTTATTCAGTGTCTGTTGTTTCGTTCACGTTTTGATGAGTATGGCTTATGATAGAGCAATTGTTTTACTAGATGCTTTTTAGGGAAAGTTCAAAGTATACTTTGCATGTAATAGAGATGAAGCTCTTCGTAATCGGGATATTCTAATTTAGACAATGGAAAATGCAATCTAATGATTTTTTCTCCACGAAAAGGTTTTCTGATGAAATCATATTAGCCACTGAGAAAGTCCACTAAAGAGAACGAACCCTCGAGTTCAACAGATGGAGAAAAATCAACCATAGAGGCAGCTTTGCCAGGGGATTCCTGCCCATGCATTAAAAGAGTCGATGTTATTAAATCCTCGACAGTTGTGGATTTTATTGTCTTTATAGGTCATATTTTCTTCTGGCGCCGATACATATAATTCACATCTTTGAGAGATACAGGACTCTATGTCATGCATGTTTTTGACAAGCTTGCTTTTTTTCACCCTTCGTGTCACTGCGAACAGTGTGTCTTCGGCGCTGGGGAAGCCTGTCGTGCTGACGATGGGCTGGAAAAGGAGAAAGCAGTGGAGACTACAATAGAGTCTTTCGCGTATCTAGAGAAGCAGATCGAGGGGAAGAAGTTCTTCGGGGGAGAGAAGATAGGCTACTTGGATCTTGTGGCCGGTTGGATCCCGTTTGTCCTCGGCGTCTTGGAAGAAGCTGGAGGCATGAAGATATATGATGCTGAGAGGTTCCCATCCCTTCATGAATGGGCACAAAACTTCAGCGAAATCCCGCTGATTAAGGAATGTGTTCCACCTAGAGATATGCTGCTTCACAATATGACTGCGAGGCTGAGCAACTTGCGTTCCTTAGCAGCGAACAAACCATAAAATACACCCTTCATTTAGATTAGTGGAGTTAGACAATAAGCTGGGAAGGCGAGATGTTTTCCCTCGAAGTGTTGCTCGCGTATTTTTCCCCTGTTTTCCACTCTTATACTTGTAACCTTCTGATATGGCGCAATAATATGTTTTTTTTTCCTTAATCAGCTTTCTCTTGGGAGATTATTAGTGAATTCGATATCATCCCTGGGATAATCCTTTCTTATGTAAGTTTCTAGAGGTTGAATGGGTTAGTTAAAAGGTGTATAGATCTCTAGGCAACGACATCTAACTCTGGATCATTAGTTCATTAAGGAAGGAGCTTTACCTTGGTCGGGCAATCTTTGAGCAAGAATTTAGTTTGGTGGCTCTGGGAAAAAGGTACTTAAGTAGAAACACGCATTTTCACAGAATTGTGAGGATGCCCTGTAAAGTTAAATGCATACGATGTATGTGCAGTCTCTACGTGCCAATGTCTGACAACCCTTAGTAATGAGTCTTCTAAATAAACAAAACCAACATCTTCACTGCCTCCTCCTGCTTCTGCCAGTCTAACGTTGGAGTCACTGAGATTGGTAAGTTCTTTTTGCGCAGATGTATCCTCAACAAGAGTGCAGGTGTGATGTGAAGGTTGAATTGGTACTCAAATGAAAAAAAAAATTGAATTTCTTGTGTGGTGTCATAAAATTAGTTTTGACTTATAGACTGTCGATGTGTTGAAATAGAATATGTAGCTTCAAAGTTCAAAACAAGGTGCTTGTTAAACTTGCAGCATGTAAAGCACTTGAATCGAGGGTTTTGATCATGTTAAAGTGCACAAGTGAGATACTTAAATATTATGATTATAATATTATTTTAATTAACTATTTTGCTGCTCCAAGTATATGTAAAATCGAGAACAATAAAATAGAGATATAAAAATATCTACGGGAGAGGAGAGATGAGGCTGAATCTCTATGCAGGGCTTCCCCAAAACCTGTCGCTCCCCGTTCGCCCGCGAAAGAATCCAACCTTATATCGTATTAAGTACTCAGACCTAAGCTTCAATACAAGCTCAAGTTTATCGAGTACAACGTTCGAGTGGAACTCCGGCAATGTAAAGTGCTTACTCAACATACCCACACAATATCTTAGACGATGTTTGAAAAGGTTTTTCGTGATCACTGTCACTCGTGTCGCATTTGTTTTCCCTCGATATATGGTAGGCATGAGTCAAAGATCAAAAATTGTACTGATTATTGTGATAAATGTGAAACTCTTGCCTTATGTAATCTCAAGCAGCAGGAGCATCTTTCTACCATTTCATTAATTTGCATGCTTTCCACTATGAATCTTTAACCAAAAGTGAAATAAAGACAAAGATCCCCATAAACTTCTACAACCATGAAAAGAGTTATCACTCTCACAAAGTAAGAGATTTTAAGCAAAATTTCCGTAGTTATGATAAATCATTGTTAGCCAATGGTAGAACAACATGGTGATATTTCTTTCAGATTCTATGGGTGTGCATGTGCATGCAAATGTGCCCAGAGAGAGAGATTTTATTAACACCGTCTATCAACATTAGTGGATACGCAATTTACTGCAAAATTGTATAGGAAAATACTCCTAGAGGAGACAGAAGCACAAAATTCCACCCAAATGAAAAGAAAACCTATATTTGGTGAACTTTGACAGAACAATTTGATTTTGTTTAAGATATGGTATGGTATGAATCAGCCATATGGCTTAATACCCTTTAACACTCAGATGCATCAGTACTCTGGGAAAGACGCAATCTCTGTGCATCACTCAGGCAACAGATACCTCTCCATTTCTGATCAGCCCAACAAGATGCACTTGCAGGCAGTGCAACAGTGATACTCACTCTTGCAGTTGCCACTCAGATTGTTTACACAGGTCCCTCAGTTGCCTGAAGAAAAGCATGAGAGAATTCATTAATCTCAATCTATGAGATAATCTACGAAACATAGTGTCAACTAATTTTTATGTGTCTTCAATATTTCCCAGCAACGGTGAAGGTTCTGATCTTGGTATTAAAAGGTTCGTGCATCAAAGTAAAATCTTAGCAACCTCCAACCAAAAAGCAACTTCGAGGACAGAATAAAGACTTAAACCTTCATTTAACTTTCTAATTTAACAGCATAATAAATGAATGGAAAAGTAACACGATAGATGACTAAGCAAAATGGTCCGTCATGAAAGAGAAGGCAGTGGCAGGGAAAGTTCTTACCTATTCCCAAAAATGTTCAAGCTCTTGCTATTACAGGTAAATCGATGACGTTCCCGACTGCCACTGTCTTGCCTGCAGAAAAGAGGTTTACACCGTGAGCCTACACTCTTTTCTATTCCATAGGTCAATGTGCCATTACAGCTTCTGGAAAACCAGAAAACATATCAATAAACATCGATCCTTCACCTTCAGTACGAAGAGTGAACCTCCCAAGCTGTGCGAAATCAGAGAACTTTGATGCAACGCAACGTCTATGGATCAGTGTCGATGTCGCAAATGACGGGGTCCCGCAGAGGTATGTTCGTCTTTTCAACGAGCACGCGCCCGTTCCTGCAGGGTTTGGGCCATGGCCATCATCATGTAAACGATGAGATGACTTGCGATTCTTTGGCCCAGGCTGTGATAATTGGGCTTGAGAATAGTTTCCCAACTTTTGATAAATATAATTGAAATCGAAATCGAAGACAAAACGCAAGGATCTTCGATTGTGATATGACTTAGGCTTTGTTTTTTTTTGTGGAAAACAATTTTCGGGAAAAAATTGTCTCGAATTTCCGGAGTTTGGTGCACGGAAGACAGATTGGTCAAGAAAAATACTTTCAATTAATGGAAAAAGCACATTCAAAACAGCTGAAAATGACTTTCTCTTCTCAAAAAAAAAAAAAGGAAATCATTTTCTCTTTCCTTTCTCTCACCCGACCTAGCACGAGACCTGACATGTTCTCCTCCTTGTCTCATGCACTTCCTAAGAAAGCCCCGCTCCTTCACCTTTCTCTTCTCCGCCTCCTCGCTCCTCATCTCTCTCCGCCTCCAGAATTCCTCCTACCCCCGCCTTTAGCTCTGCATTTGTAGTGTCAAGTGCAATCGATTGAGCGAGGTTGTGTGTATTTGTTCGATTCAGTCGATCCGCGCCTCTTGGTTGATCTCCTGGTAAGTCGATCTATGGATAATTTTTTTTTCCAGGAATTGTTGTTTCAAATAATGTCATGTATTGTTTATATATGTGCCTAGGTTCTCATGCACCAGGCTCCCGTGCCTTAGTTATCGGCGCCGAAGCCTAGGTCTAAGTACCCGGTGCCTGTGCTCAAGTTCATAATGGCTAGGTTTGAGAAATCTCGACTCCTACAACTAAGAGCCCAACAGATGGGCCCAAGTCCCCCAAGGCTGAGGACAAACTGCAACTTCCAAGAAACTTCTCCGCGACCACAGATTAATCAAACTGGGCAGATACTAAGCAATGAAGTCTAATTGTGTATATTAACCAATCAAATCCATTCTGCTTCTTGCCCGAAAAGTCACAAGTTTGTCTGTTTTTTCTGTCGTTGAACGAGAGATGCATATCGTTTCCTTCTTTTTATGACTGTATTCCCATTCTCTCCTTCTTGGCCTCGCCTTTCACCCGGTCCTCGTCAACGGCCGCCACTATTCTCTGCCCCAGGATTCAAACTTGGCTGCATTTGACGAAGCATGGTGGCCATTTTCAAGAACCCATCTCGTATTTGTTTATATACGAGAGATCCCAACTCGACCACGCTGCTCAGAACAGGAAAACCCGATCATGGGTAAGCTGAAGATCATCGTCTCTAAGATGAGCTTGTTCTGCACAAGAGTCGAGTGGGCTCTAAAACTGAAGGGCCTCGAGTACGAGCTCATTGTTGAAGACTTGCGGAAGGGGAAGAGCGAATTGCTTCTGAAGTCGAACCCAGTGCACAAGAAGATCCCGGTGCTTTTGGACGATGGGGTCGCCATTGCAGAGTCGAAGGTGATTCTGGAGTACATCGATGAGAAGTGGAAGGGAGGTGATTATTATCCGCTGTTGCCTAAAGACCCTTATGAGAGAGCTCAAGCTCGTTTCTGGGCTGAGTTTGCTGATGACAAGGTGACTCTTTTGACTTTTTCCCCAAGTTTTTGTTCTTTATTCAGTGTCTGTTGTTTCGTTCACGTTTTGATGAGTATGAGTTATGATAGAGCAATTGTTTTACTAGATGCTTTTTAGGGAAAGTTCAAAGTATACTTTGCATGTAATATGGACGAAGCACTTTGTAATCGGGATATTCTAATTTAGACAATGGAAAATGCAATCTCATGATTTTTTTCTCCATGAAAAGGTTTTCTGATGAAATCATATTAGCAACTGAGAAAGTCCACTAAAGAGAACGAACCCTCGAGTTCAACAGATGGAGAAAAATCAACCATAGAGGCAGCTTTGCCAGGGGATTCCTGCCCATGTATTAAAAGAGTTGATGTTATTAAATCCTCTTAACAGTCGTGGATTTTATTGTCTTTATAGGTCATATTTTCTTCTGGCGCCGATATATATAATTCACATCTTTGAGAGATACAGGACTTTATGTCATGCATGTTTTTGACAAGCTTGCTTTTTTTCACCCTTCGTGTCACTGAGAACAGTGTGTCTTCGGCACTTGGGGAGCCTGTCGTGCTGAAGATGGGCTGGAAAAGGAGAAAGCAGTGGAGACTGCAATAGAGTCTTTCGCGTATCTAGAGAAGCAGATCGAGGGGAAGAAGTTCTTCGGGGGAGAGAAGATAGGCTACTTGGATCTTGTGGCCGGTTGGATCCCGTTTGTCCTCGGCGTCTTGGAAGAAGCTGGAGGCATGAAGATATATGATGCTGAGAGGTTCCCATCCCTTCATGAATGGGCACAAAACTTCAGCGAAATCCCGCTGATTAAGGAATGTGTTCCACCTAGAGATATGCTGCTTGACTATATGACTGCGAGCCTGAGCTACTTGCGTTCCTTAGCAGCGAACAAACCATAAAATACACCCTTCATTTAGATTAGTGGAGTTGGACAATAAGCTGGGAAGGCGAGATGTTTTCCCTCGAAGTGTTGCTCGCGTATTTTTCCCCTGTTTTCCACTCTTATACTCGTAACCTTCTGATATGGCGCAATAATATGTTTTTTTCCTTAATCAGCTTTCTCTTGGGAGATTATTAGTGAATTCGATATCATCCCTGGGATAATCCTTTCTTATGTAAGTTTCTAGAGGTTGAATGGGTTAGTTAAAAGGTGTATAGATCTCTAGGCAACGACATCTAACTCTGGGTCATTAGTTCATTTAAGGAAGGAGCTTTACCTTGGTCGGGCAATCTTTGAGCAAGAATTTAGTTTGGTGGCTCTGGAAAAAAGGTACTTAAGTAGAAACACACATTTTCACAGAATTGTGAGGACGCCCTGTAAAGTTAAATGCATACGATGTATGTGCAGTCTCTACGTGCCAATGTCTGACAACCCTTAGTAATGAGTCTTCTAAATAAACAAAACCAACATCTTCACTGCCTCCCCCTGCTTCTGCCAGTCTAACGTTGGAGTCACTGAGATTGGTAAGTTCTTTTTGTGCAGATGTATCCTCAACAAGAGTGCAGGTGTGATGTGAAGGTTGAATTGGTACTCAAATGAAAAAAAATTGAATTTCTTGTGTGGTGTCATAAAATTAGTTATGACTTACAGATTGTCGATGTGTTGAAATAGAATATGTAGCTTCAAAGTTCAAAACCAGATGCTTGTTAAACTTGCAGCATGTAAAGCACTTGAATCGTGGGTTTTGATCATGTTAAAGTGCAAAAGTGAGATACTTAAATATTAGGATTAGAATATTATTTTAATTAACTATTTTGCTGCTCCAAGTATATGTAAAATCGAGAACAATAAAATAGAGATATAAAAATATCTACGGGAGAGGAGAGATGAGGCTGAATCTCTATGAAGGCTTCCCCAAAACCTGTCGCTCCCCGTTCGCCCGCGAAAGAATCCAACCTTATATCGTATTAAGTACTCAGACCTAAGCTTCAATACAAGCTCAAGTTTATCGAGTACAACGTTCGAGTGGAACTCCGGCAATGTAAAGTGCTTACTCAACATACCCACACAATATCTTAGACGATGTTTGAAAAGGTTTTTCGTGATCACTGTCACTCGTGTCGCATTTGTTTTCCCTCGATATATGGTAGGCATAAGTCAAAGATCAAAAATTGTACTGATTATTGTGATAAATGTGAAACTCTTGCCTTATGTAATCTCAAGCAGCATGAGCATCTTTCTACCATTTCATTAATTTGCATGCATTCCTCTATGAATCTTTAACCAAAAGTGAAATAAAGACAGAGATCCCCATAAACTTCTACAACCATGAAAAGAGTTATCACTCTCACAAAGTAAGAGATTTTAAGCAAAATTTCCGTAGTTATGATAAATCATTGTTAGCCAATGGTAGAACAACATGGTGATATTTCTTTCAGATTCTATGGGTGTGCATGTGCATGCAAATGTGCCCAGAGAGAGAGATTTTATTAACACCGTCTATCAACATTAGTGGATACGCAATTTACTGCAAAATTGTATAGGAAAATACTCCTAGAGGAGACAGAAGCACAAAATTCCACCCAAATGAAACGAAAACCTATATTTGGTGAACTTGGACAGAACAATTTGATTTTGTTTAAGATATGGTATGGTATGAATCAGCTATATGGCTTAATACCCTTTAACACTCAGATGCATCAGTACTCTGGGAAAGACGCAATCTCTGTGCATCACTCAGGCAACAGATACCTCTCCATTTCTGATCAGCCCAACAAGATGCACTTGCAGGCAATGCAACAGTGATACTCACTCTTGCAGTTGCCACTCAGATTGTTTACACAGGTCCCTCAGTTGCCTGAAGAAAAGCATGAGAGAATTCATTAATCTCAATCTATGAGATAATCTACGAAACATAGTGTCAACTAATTTTTACAGCAACGGTGAAGGTTCTGATCTTGGTATTAAAAGATTCGTGCATCAAAGTAAAATCTTAGCAACCTCCAACCAAAAAGCAACTTCAAGGACAGAATAAAGACTTAAACCTTCATTTAACCTTTCTAATTTAACAGCATAATAAATGAATGGAAAAGTAACACAATAGATGACTAAGCAAAATGGTCCGTCATGAAAGAGAAGGCAGTGGCAGGGAAAGTTCTTACCTATTCCCAAAAATGTTCAAGCTCTTGCTATTACAGGTAAATCGATGACCTTCCCGACTGCCACTGTCTTGCCTGCAGAAAAGAGGTTTACACGGTGAGCCTACACTCTTTTCTATTCCATAGGTCAATGTGTCATTACAGCTTCTGGAAAACCAGAAAAGATATCAATAAACATCGATCCTTCACCTTCAGTACGAAGAGTGAACCTCCCAAGCTGTGCAAAATCAGAGAACTTCTCAATACATATCAAGTTGTCCACCTGGTGAAACATTTCCACATGAAGGTCACGTCAATAAACATAAAAGAGCTGACAAGACTACATCCAATAGACAAAAACTTAACTGAGACTGACAAAGCATTACTGTGCTGGGGGTTATTACCAACGATAAGTGCTAGTACAAGGGGGACTTCCAGCAATTGAAAAAGCATCATTTGACATCAAACAATTCAAAAGGATGATCACTGATAACCTCGAAACCTCAGTGTTCGTTCCACTGTCAGAAACCACTTAGGTCTGTGGAAACTAACCTGAATGCGACAAATGACCACAGCCCCATTCTTCACAAATAGAACATTCCTTTTTAATGGCTTTTTCGTCTTTGGATCAATTTGTTGTAGCAGCTCAATGATCTCGCATTCCTCAACAACCGCATGTATGTGTAGAACGGCCTTATAACCAGCTGTAAAGATTGCCTGAAGTATTTGTCTACTTGAGATATTATTCACATAATTAACTTATCAAAAAACTAAAAATGCTCAAAGTACAGCCAATACGAATATGGAAGAAGACTAATAATTTGTTCCGCGTACATTGTCTAGCAGCTCAAGAATCTGCAGCTGGGCAACAAACTCAGTGACTGCAGCAATTGGTTTCTCTGGGCAATGAAGAATACAACGAATGTCATTGGAGGTACCAGATCATGAAAACAACTCCTATAAAGCACCCTATCTTAGAAGAAGAACTACAAGTAGAAAATGGACAAACAACACTATAAATTCTCCTTTGAAAGATACAGAGGCACAGTGAAAAAAAAAATACATACCAACACTTGACAAGACAAATCCAGACAATATGTCCTTTTCTTCAATCCCATACAGTGTAACCCGGACATTTTCACCAGGTCCGGCACGTCTAACTTTATCATCATCTCGGTACACAGCAAGCACTTTCACATACGCCTGCAGAGCAATGATAGAATCCTCAAAGGAACCTGCAATAAACAAAAAACTGGGAAACTACGGCTAAACTTATGCAGATCATTTACCTTATTTGGCATGAGAACCAAATAATCACCTTCACGTATGCTGCCTGATTCTACTTTTCCCATAACAAGAGTTCCCATTTCCTTGAATTTGTCAATGATAGGCATCCTACAAGTTAGAGATTCATCATCGAATGCCTGAAGTACTTAACAAGTACAAGAAGAAGAAGAAGAAGTACAGTCTAGAACACACAACCAAATTAAGTCCCAATAGCACCCATAATTGGTAAGCACCACATTTCATGACGCTACAAACGAGACTAAATGCTTTATCCAAGCTAGATAGGCAATTGAAAGTCTTCCACCATATATGAAACAGCAATATCCATTGTAATGTAAAGGCAAAGCTCATCCTTTGATTCATTAGAAGAGAATAACTTATTGTGCAGAAGCAGACATATAAATGTTTACATGCATACATGCATGACAGCGTGTGCATATGCATGCTCGATTGTGTCAGTCAGTGCATTGCAAGCCTGAGCCCATGTGCCCCTGTGTTTTGTATGCAGTGCATGCATGCATGTGCTAGAGTAATCAAAAGCTTTAAGAATCAACCTGCATATTAGAACTTGTATCGCGCATCCCAGTATCAGAATTCATCGTCTTTCACTGTAGTTATTCTAATTACAACCATCAGACTGCTTTTTCACTTGAATATTCTTCAAAAAAGGATGATGAGAAAAGGCATGTGGTTTAACATGCTAGCATGCTATAAGAAGGTACCTTTATGATCAATGAGGTCCAAGCACATAAAATTGTAATCAAATCAGTGTCTGATTTAAGAGGATATTCTCAAGAACAAGCAGCCTATGTTGAAGTTAGCTAACATAGAATGAAAAAATATGGCAATGCCAAAAAAAGCATCATCATATGCTCTTTATATTAAAGAATAGTAACAAAAGTAATAAACCACGTGTTAACTAGTTGAGCTACTCGAGCTTGACCAGTTGACTGCCACTCAGTTTGACGCGTGTTTGCTCGATTGTGTTCATGTGCTCTTCGTATGAAAGAATAGTAACAAAAGTAATAAATCACATGTGTTATCTAGTCAACCTACTAGTGAGTTACTTGAGCTTGACCAGTTGACTGCCACTCAGTTCGACAAGTGTTGGCTTGATTGTGTTTTTCCAAATAAACGGAATTTTGAAAACTCAAAAGACAGTTCTTTTTGCTAATGCTAAAAATTGTCATGGAAGCTGCTACATCAGGATAATTAATTGTTTTTATGACAAAATGACTTCATTTCACAAAACATGCAAGTTAGAGAACTCGATTGCACAAATTGAAACTTTGAGGACCGGATTGCACAAATAACACAAGTAAAAGGAATAAATGTGGGATTAACCTTTAAATTTATGTGCTTCTGTAATACATATCATATTATCAGAAACAACTATTAGTAGCATAACTATATTTTTCTGTTTAGATTGGGTGTTAACTTTTTGAGCAGAGATGGTGGTTGCAAGGGATGACAGAGGTAACCCTTTAGGAGCATGGGTAACTAGTAATGGCTACTCCTCGCCACTTGAAGCAGAGACTGAGGCAGCTTACTGGGCTGGTCGTCTAGCACGAGATTGAGGACATAACAACGTAGTCTTTTGAAGGCAACTGCCAAGTTTTATAAAGTCAGTTGTGGACCTAAAAGGCCACTTGGACTGGAGTCATTGACGCGTATACTGGACCTGCGAAAATTTCTTTACTCACATGGGGGCTGGAAGTTCCTTTGGAGCCCCAGGAGTGCGAATAAAGTTGCACATTCACGGTCTAAGTGGCTTTTTTTAATCACTTAGGTTTCAATAGCCTTACTTTAAATTTTTCCCTGATGTAATAAAGGATTTGTTAGAATATGACACTTTATCTATAAGAGTTGGATCTTTACAAGATTTAGTAATGTGATGAACTTGCTTTGTTGGCTTGCCAAAAACAAAAAAAGGACTTGATTTTGACATCTAGCCCTACTGATGTTTGAGGCCATCATTTGGATAATCAAGCCTACTCAAGGCAAGGTTGAGCATGCATTTCACTTAATCGCACTCAATGAAAGCTCAAAAATCAAGGTCAATTAAGCATGCATCAAGCATAAAAGTCTTGACACTTTGAGACCTGACGTTGAGTGGTAAACTATGTGGACTCAACTCAACTTGATTGTGCCCCTACGATTGACTGAGCAGCAATAATCAAGAAGCTAAGAAAGTAATCAAGGAGATCATTTGATGTTAGGCAATACCTGAAAGGACCCTTAGGATCACGTGGAGGAACCTCAACAGCATCAAGAGCTTCAAAGAGGCACGGTCCATTCCACCACGAACATAAGCTTTTGTCAACTCCTGTTTTTATGTTTGAACCAACGAGACCAGATATCGGTAGAAATAGAACATCTGCAATGACAAAAAAAAAGTAAGGCAAGTTGGCGACAGATACAGCAAAAACCTAGGAATATTACTGCCCAAACTAGAAAGAAATGGTACCTTTCTTCACGTTATAGCCTGAAGACTTTAGAAAAGGCATCATCTTTGATTCAATTTCATCATACCTGAAAAACATAGACACCAGCAAGAGCAAACCACAACGATATAAGAAAGATATGTGTGCTCATGGAGAAGGCAGCAGGTGTTTGGAGGGGAGACAGGGATAGAGAAGAGAGAGAGAGAGAGAGAGAGAGAGAGAGAGAGAGACCTTTCTTTAGACCAATTTACAGTGTGATCATCCATTTTATTTACAACAACGAGCAGCTTAGAGACACCCAAGGTTTTAGCTAGCTGGACATGTTCACGGGTTTGTCCACCTTTCTCGTATCCGGTCTCAAATTCCCCCTTTCTAGCAGATATTACCTGGGAGAGTTGGGTTTGGAACAAGGAGCTATAGTGTGAAAACTTAAAAGAAACCAGAGAAAGAAACACATTGTTCCCGTTCCTTACCAGTACGCCTATATCTGCTTGGAATGCCCCACTTATCATATTAGGGACATAACTTTTGTGACCCTGGAGAATCCCCCCAACAATAGAGAGAGAGAGAGAGGAGCATGTCATTAATACTCAAGAATTTTGGTTAGAAACTATTATCTTAACAAGAAAAACAGAAAAATCAAATAGCACAGAATTCACACAAAGGTAATAATGGAACAAGAGACACAAGTTGATCCTATAAGATTAGAACACGTAGCAGTTCAGGATAAACCTGCTGTGGTGCTCTGAGGATGCATAATTAACCAAGCCCAAGTAGTTTAAGGAACCAAAGGGTAAAAATAAATAGCTCACCGGTGCATCTAATATGGTGAAACGAGTTGTTTCAGTCTCAAATTGTGCTCTCCCAACCTCAACTGTTTTACCCTGCGTCAATTTAAAATGATTTTAATTTGTTAAATTACAATTTACTGTCAAGGAACCTGCTCCAGTATCTGGGGCACCACGCGTACATGCTTCAGGGAAAGGAATCAAACAGAATTTCGAAAGGAATTACAAGAGCTGCCTAGTACCTTAACCCTCTCTTCTTCATTAGTGTCCATAATGTAAGCCATGTACCTATCATAAAGATGATCAAAAGAGTAATAAATGAAGCAATCTACAGCGATCTCTGTGCTTGTTAATACATATTAAAACCTGCATATGATGGCAGTGTAACCAACAAATTATCAGGGCAAAAAACCAAAGGAAAAGCCTGACCAGCTTTCTCTACTCCTGTCCTTCGCTTCTTTCTCGTACTTTTGGATGGTACGATCATCAACCTGTCCACTAAGAAAGAGAATCTGGCCACCTGTCGTTGATTTTCCAGCATCTGTAACCCAGAATCAATAGCTAACTAGATCAAACAGGGTTAAACAAATGGGTTGCAACTTGCAAGTTGCAAACACTGAATAGCACAAAGCATCTAACAGAAATCATGTGAAAATCTTAAACCCTTTCAACTGTTTGTATGATATTCAGTCTTTCTGATCGAACTATAATAAGAAAATATTAACGCATTGTGATTCTCTTCCAAAGGACAAAAGAGAACCAAGATATAGGCAATCAATTGCTTGCAGAAAAATAGCAACCTTAACTCTTCATGCATCAGAGATTAAGCTAAAGACTCACAAATCACAAGCAAATAAGGGAATAAGTAATGGCACTTTCAACTGCTGGGATCCAACAGTTGACAGAGGCATAAATTTGACTCAGACATCCATACTGATGAACCAAATGGAAAAGCAGTGCAACTTACCAACATGACCGATGAAAACAACATTCAAATGCCGCTTCATATCTTCTTCCATTTCATCCTGCACATCAACATGCTCAACAGCAGATGCTTCATCATCATTCCCTACAAATCCCAAATTCCAAATATGATTTAAGAGAAGTTACGCACGTAGCAACCATAACTGACTTTAGGTTCAAAAAGGAAACAAAATAGCACCTCTTGGGTCAGCCTGGATCTGTTGGGAGGTTTTTAGGATCTCATCTTGGGCACCTGCAAAAACCGACAGGTAAATTCCTTTAGCGAAGTTCACTAGTTGCCAAATTTTAAATATGTCAAAAGTATTAATAAACAGCTCATAAGCAAATGTATCAGAGATCTTCAATCAACAAATTAAGGGAAGCTCTCTAAGAAACAAGATTCTTATATTCATGAGCAAAGAAAGTAAAGGATCAGAGAACAACTAGAGGAGGGTATTGTGACTAACGACAGGCTGAATGACAGATTCACTCAAGAGAGAACCTTTCTGGGTGTGCTACAATATAGATTAATATGATTCACTCTTCCAGTTTCATCAAGGCAGGTGAGCTAGCAATTGATCAAGCTATATGAACGACCAAAGTAATTGACAGCGCAAAGTTGTTTTGCAACGAAGTATCTGACTCCAAAGCCCAAGCAAAAGTTGTGTGGCCTTTGGAAATGATGAGCCCCATGAAAGTCTCAAGACAATCATGCCGTCCACTGCCTGGATAGAACTGAGCACTTTTCCAAGCAGTACAGTTGCCTGAGCTCATGTGAATGTCAAAAGTAGGAATACGATATTGAGATGTAACAGGAATCTCATGAAAGCGACTAGTAGGTGGTCTTGAAAGAATCAAATCCTCCACAGTTCATGCGATTCCAAGGTTTCTTACATACCATCAACCGTCCACAAGAGAACCTAAATTTTAATGTTTTCATGGCAATACAAGAAGAAGAAGGAAGAAAACAAGTAAAACTTCTTCAGATACACCTGAGCTATGTAAATGGACTACCCTTAAAAAAACTCAATGCAAAGAGTCTGTCAGTTAGCCAATCTTCAAAATTGCTCCCCATCACTTCACTTCCTAACTTAACTTCTCAATCAATTTATCACTTATTAATAAAGAAATATTGAATGATTGATTGCAAGCTCTCAGATTCGAACAAGCAACCAGAAAAAAGCGAAAACTATCAAAGAAAAGGAGAAAGCTAAATCCTGCAAGACTCTCTCGCCAAAATTCATACCTACACATACAATAACCATTGATTGTCATTGCCATCATATTAAGACCAATTCAATTTTATCACCAACCTTCCTCTTTTTCATCAACCATCTCCATTTCTTCAAGCTTTGGATCTTCGGGATGACCAACCCCATTATACTCTTCTGCCAAGAATGGACACATCCAAAGAGAAAAACCAAAATAGTTCAACCAAGACATTTAGAGCACAAAGCATTCTGAAATTCATATTCTGGAGGAAAAAAAGAAGTGGTAAAACACTATTAAGAATCGATGATTACAAGCCTTCCTATTGCTACCTGCTGAGTGAAGTTGCAACCCACGAATGTCTTCCTCGATATCTAGCATTTAGCAAAACATGTCAAACAAGTCATTTCCAGTCACAGACATGAAAACCTCTAATAACTTCTCAATGACGAATTTAGACACATTTCAAAAACCACATTTCCGCCACCGACAACTGTATTTAATCAATTTAATCTTGCATGTTTCACCGCATACGTTCATCGCATCTCCTTTCTTCATGGATTTCAATAAGAAGCAACTGAGTCGAAGTGATGTCTAATTACTTGAGAAAAATATCAACAGTTTCATTAAAAAGAAAAAACCAAAAGAACAATGAAATCAGAAAAGCCTCATTGGTTCGTTTTCTCGCCGGAAAGGGTAGTATTTGACTATATCCAGTCCAACAGGAACGACCCAGAATTTGAGCTACGATCACCATATTAACAACCAAGAAGTAAAGTTCGGTCCTTCATCCGAAAATTCCAACTCGAAAATTCAACAAACTCAATCAGAAGAGCTCAGAGACTGGAATTTTTACACGCTCCAGCTCGTTCAGGACGTGCTTTCGAATCAGAACTCGCGTGACCATCAACCCGGCATCTTCAACAAAAAATAAGCAGGCGGACGTGTAAACATTGGCGGCAAATTCAAGAACAGGGCTTACCCATCATTGAACACGAGTCCATGATCAGGTTCTGGGGTGTTTTTTCTGGAGAATCTAGCGAAGCAGGAGCGAGAAGATGGAAATGAAGATGAAGATGCGACGCTCTCTGTTGCGTGGTTCGTTTCGAGTAAAGAAGGACGGAGAAGTAACGCAACGGACGATGCTTATGCCGTTGTGTGTCTGGTTTCTGTTTCTCTTGTCGCTTTTACAAGACCAGTGATGTTTGTTGGTATTATTCTCTCTTTCTTTCTTTTTCTTGTTTTTATTTTTTATTTTGCGATGCTTTAAATTTAAACTTATAATGAAAATTAATTATTTTTCCGAAAAATGATTTCTAGAAAAATATTTTCCTTTATCGTGAATTTAAATTAATAATGGATTTACTTTGGGCGAAAGAGAAATTGAAAAAGGGGATTTATTTATCTGTTTAGTTGATAAAATAAATCCAATAGCAACTTTAAGTCTTCACCTTCAAACTTTCATGAAAAAATCGCAGCCCTCGCCGGCTTCCTCCGCCATGGCCGGCGGAGGGAAGAGAGAAGAAAAGAAAAAAAAAGGAAAAAAAATAGAAAAAAGAAAAAAAATAGAAAAAGGAAAATGACAAAAATACCCATAGGCCAAAGTATTATGAGGTAAATGTGTCACAAGTGGTATAGTCTGGGGTTTTTCGTGTCACAAAAAAAAAGTTCAGGGTAAATTTATCACAAATGACATAATTTTGAGTTTTTGATGGTATTTTCCCTAAATATGATAATGTACTTTATTGATTTAAATTTTTTCACTATTTTTTGAGTACGCAATGGGTGTGCTCTTTTTTTTTTGAAAAAAAGATTATTCATGTCATAAAAGTATTAAAAAAAGTACTCCATCGTTAGTGGATAAGGTCATTATAATTCGCAATTATGTCAACATAATTAAGTGGCCTTTTTTTTTTCTTTGATAGCTACTAAAAGGTTAAACATGTACGCAAAAAGGAAAAAATATGTTTAAAGTTGTGTAGGAAAAACGATATTCTTTAAAGGGCGGCCTCTTATCATACCTCTATTGTTTGAATATTATGACATCAGCTACGTGCAAAGTTGATAAATAGTTACACGTGGGCAATGTTCATGCTCGGAACTCGTCGATCAGAGATATGGTTAAAAAAAAAATTAAATGAGGCTCTTTTATAAAAACAATTTGTTGGGAACTAAATTTAAATGGAAATATTAGCACGCGAGAGATCCAAAATTCAAAATACACTCACGCAAGATTTAATGTGATCACCGGTATTATAATACGTCAACTTACAATTGTTTATACTTGCCAAAAAGAAACACACAAACATGACGAGAGTGAAAAAGAAAAAAAGAAAAATTACTATCGAAAAAGCAAAAAAATTTGGAATATCAATAATCCTAGCATTTGAAATTAACTTGGTATAATTTCGACCAAAAAAAAAAGAACTTGACTTGGTATAATGAAAAATAATCAAATACTGAAAATTAGATGGAAATTTTTTAATACCTTAAAATGCCCAAGTGGAGTTGCAGGACCTTGTCCTATGCTGTGAAATTGGAGTAACATTTCGAAACCGGCGTGCTTGCCACTATGTGCATATTGACCTCGATCCCTTTTGGTTCGTGCTATGTCTGTTATTTCATGATGTGCTTATTTCACGAAAAATTTAAAATTTTAAAAATATTTTCTAAAAAATAATTGGTCATAACGCTCACAAAAATGAATGAATGAAAAATATATTAATTATCCATGAAGATACTTTGGTATAAATTGATGTTAATAATGAAAATAGTTTTCATTGACTAATTCTTCTAAACGATATGACAAATTATTTTTCGAAAAATATTCCAAATTATAAGTTTTCCGTACAATAAACGCATAGGAAAATACTACCAAAAACCTCAAACTATGTCACTTGTGATAAATTTATCCTGAGCTTTTTTTGTGACACGAAGAACCCCAAACTATGTCACTTGTGATAAATCTACCTTAAACTTTTTTTTGTGACACAAAAAACTCCAAATTATGCCACTTATTACACATTTACCCCACAATACTTTGGTCAATGAGCATTTTCGTCTTTTTCCTTTTCCTGTTTTTTTTTTTCCATTCTTCTCTCTTCTCTCCGCCGGCCATGGCGGAGGGAAGCCAGCAAGGGCGATCCTCGCCGGCGTGGGGTTGGGCGAGGGCTGCCCTCGCCGAATCTAGAGAGGGCGACCCTCGCCGGCGTCGGGCGAGAGTCGCCCTCGCCCGACACCAGATTTGGCGAGGGTGACTCTCACCCAACGCCGGCAAGGGTCGCCCTTGCCTAGGCGGGCGAGGGCAGCCCTCGCCCAACCCCAGCGCCGGCGAGGGCCGCCCTCACCGGCTTCCCTCCACCATGGCCGACGGAGGGAAGAGAGAAGAAAAGAAAAAAAAAAAAAAAAAACAGAAAAAGGAAAAAGACGAAAATGTCCATGGATCAAAGTATTGTGAGATAAGTATGTCATAAGTGGTATAGTTTGGGATTTTTCCTGTCACAAAAAAAAGTTTATGGTAACTTTGTCACAAGTGCCATAGTTTGGAGTTTTTCGTGTTACAAAAAAAATTCAAAGTAAATTTGTCACAAGCGGCATAGTTTGAGATTTTTTATGGTATTTTCCCTAAATGCACCATAATTCTTTTTCTTTTGTCGGCGACTTCGTGATTCTACTTATACTCAAGCGAAACCATATGAAACATACAAATATCTCTAAATGGGCGATGGCATAGCAAGCCTTCAATTTGACCAATTAACATGCACAAAATGTCATTTATCAAAATATCTTTGGTTTCGGTTCGATTTTTGACACCCCTTCTCCCTATGGGCTATCGAAATGTTGCCATGGTAGCATCGAAGGGCCAACATGAAGATATTTTATCTTGGTATTTCTCGAAGACCAAAAGCTCGCGATGAATCAAGAAATCGTTCCAAGCACGACTCGTGTCTAATCATCGGATGCAATTTCAAAAAGTTGGGGTGATAATATATCACTTTTAATGCACGCATCGAGTCAAACCTCATGCATGTCAACGAGGCATTGGACCATGTTACAAGAGATGGCACCGAGTTCACAATTCCAACACCAACACGACTCAATGCTGTGAAATTTTGTGAGATCACTGTCAATTATTCTAAAAGTTTAAGCTATTAAATAAAAGAGGGATTAATATTTAATTTCTTACAAATGCGTCCGCTATTTTTACATCGCGACAATAAAGGGTTTGTCATTTTCGTGAATCTTCGTTTCGATGTCGATTGAGCTTTGGGCAGCTGGGATGATTTGGAAAGGTTTTTGTGTTACTGATTCGATACGTAGTACTTAGGACACGACGTGAATAATTTTGCATGGAGAGGGCATTGAATCAAGATTCTTACCCTATTAGCTTAATGACTTGTTTTGTTTTCATCATTTTAATCCCGTTTTCAAAAAATGAGTCAACGGAATGTTTTTTTTTAGTTAACGGAAAATATTTTCCTACCAAAGCTTAAATTCGGGATAATGATTTCCTCTTTAAATGAATCGAAAAACGCGTTTACACCCGAAACTCTATACTTGGGCACAAAAAATCCCAACGTTGGTTCCCGAGTCGCAACATCCAGGATCAGGTCTCCGGCGCCCAGGTCCGGTCTTGGGGCCTGGGTCCCCGGCACCCACTCCCAGGTCCATCGAGGTCGGGCCCGAACCCCCGGTGCCCGTACCTCATGCTCCGGCACCCGAGCCCTAGTCCATAAAGGCCGTGCTTGGGTCCCCAACACTCGACCTCTGGTCCCGACCCTCGGGCTCGGATCCACAGAGGCCGTACACGGATCCTCGGCGCTCGAGCTCGAGTCCTTACCAAATAGCAAAAAATACTTTTTGAGTTTTTTTTCGTATTTTAATCAAATGACCCTGATAAATGTTTTTAAAAAATAGTCATTCATTTTTCGCGAAATAAATTGACCCTAAATTTATTAATCGTGGGCGCCGCGGGCCTGAATAAGGACTTCCTGGTCTACTACGTCTGGCTTAGCTGCGCCTATTGATGGAGTCTGATGGTAAAGGCGCCAATCGCGGCCATGGCGCACACCGTTTGATTGGGCCGGGCCAAAGCCCATGAGAACACCCTATCGGGCCCGGTTGGCCACATCAACCCGGCCCGCCTTCCGCTGAACCGCCAGCTGGACCGGACAAAAGGGTGCAATCCGCTAACGTGCGCGTCGGGCGTGCGTCACGCGCGCCCCGACAAAGGAGAGAGAGAATGAGTGGAGCGGTCACGTCACAATTAATGTCGCTTTCGGCCCTCTCTCTCTCTGCCCCGCTTTCCCGCCATTTCCAACCGCCACGTGTCGGTCGTCGCTTTCCCGTCGGGACATCACGTGACGTGAGTTAGAAAATCGAGTCATCCGTAAAATCCCCCGTGACTCGTTTTGCCTTTCTTTTTTTATTTTTGGTTTTTTGCCCGCTGATCTTGGTTTGGTTTGTGGATCGACTCAATTCAATTCTATCGGATACCATTTTTGAAACTCGACTTGACCTTCCTTGATTTTTTTAATAGGGTTAATATCAAGAAAAAATTTCAAATTAATACATCTGTGACAATTTTACTTCAAATTAATTTTTTTATAATAAAAAACCCCAAACTGGTATCTCTGTGACAAATTTACCCTAAATTAATTTTTTGATCATTAAAAACTGCAAACTGGTACATTTGTGATAAATTTACCCTCTGTTAATTTCCGTTAAATAAGATTTAATACCATAAAAAATAAAAAATGGTATACCCGTGACAAACGGAAGATAAAGCATAAAACTAGTACATCAGTCAACTGCCGCGTATAATTTAACAAAGTAATTTAACAGTAAAATTTAGCGAAAACAAACTGAGGGTAAATTTGTCACGGATGTATCGATTTTGGGTTTTTTCATGGCATTAACCCTTTTCTGAAATACAAATGTAAAAGCAGTTTATATCCTCTAAATTTATCGCCGATTATTCATATTAGTCTTGATCGGATCGGAAAAATAATCTTGATTCATGCATAAAGTTTGGCTCGAAATATCATAGATTGACGCGCCAAAAAAAATTTTGATTAGCTAACCCATAAGTTCAAATACAAGTGAATGCGGGATGGTAAAAACCATTAATTCGAGGCAAGACATTGTTTGGATTTCCTTGAAATAGTAAATCA